TGCTGCCCAGAGGCCCCTGCATCCCTCCATCCCCACTTCCAAGGCCTGGCTCTTCAGAGCCTGCCTCACCACAGAGTATTTTTAGCCGACAGTTCCTGCTCTCAGCTGAGTGTTCACCCTTAAATATTTTATTAAGTTCCTTTTTATCGAACACAGACCTCTGCCCCTACGAAGCCGACATGTGCAGTGGGTGTCCCAAGCCCCTCTAGGAGGTCCCTTGCATGCTCTTTCTTCCTTACCGGGGCCTGACGGGTCCCCCAGCTCTGTGGAGCCTTCATCTGCAGGAGCTCACTTGGGCCGGCTTGAGCCACCTGCAGGTGTGAGTGTCGGTGCCTCTGTCTCCTCCTCTCTGTTGCCCCTCCCTCCTGTCGCCATCTGGCCCTGGCCCTGTCCCACTGCCCTGCTGCCCTCTCCTTGCCGTTGGTTTCCTTCCCTGCTGGGTGTGCAGCCCTGGGCAGGCGCCCTCCTGCCTCCGGCTCTTTCCCTTCATTTCCTCTCCGACTTCCTGCCCGCTGCTTCCTCTCCCTCCCTTCTGGCAAGCGCGGGTGGATGTTGAGGCCCTCCCCACCACCCCGTGTTAAAAACAAACACAAACCCCCGGTCAGCCTTGCCTCTTGCCTCGCACATTGTCCTCTGGAGGCCCTGTCGCCCGCCTGCACGTCCCCTCGCCGTCTGGGAGCCCCGTGGAGAGGCCCTTTAGCGGCTGGGTCAGCCGACCTCAATCCACGCCGTGGAATGAATGCGTGGACACGTGGATGAGTCTGAAAGGCAAGAGGGTTGCTCAGGCAGGGCCAGCAGGTCCGTGGGAACAGAGGCAGGGCTGGCCCCTGCCTGCCCGGACCCCTCTCCCACTCTCTGGCAGGCATCCTCGCCTCCTCTGCCCTTCCCAGCTCCTCACACAGAGCAGGAGGCAGTGACTCTGTGGGACATAGAGAAGGGACCACACTCCTGAGTTTGGTGGCAAAAACAGAGCAAAACCTGAACAGCCAGGCTGGAATTCACCCGCGGGCAGCCCACGCTCGGCTCTCAGCGGCTGCTGGCACACGCCTGGCCAGCCTCAGGTGGGGGCCCCTTTTTCCTGCGGTTTCTGGCCCAGGCCCTCACTTTGCACCCTCCCCACAGGTGTTCCGCAGCGGAGAGGGCATGGGCATCCGCCTGGATAACGCTTCTGCCTTCCAAGGAGCTGTCATCTCGCCCCACTATGACTCCCTGCTGGTCAAAGTCATCGCCCACGGCAAAGACCACCCCACAGCTGCCACTAAGATGAGCAGAGCCCTGGCAGAGTTCCGCGTCCGAGGTGTGAAGGTGAGAGGCTGCAGCCCCCGTTGCCTTTGCTCCCAGCCCTTGGGGTGTCCCCTAGCTGTCCACTTCCCTGCCAAGGGCCTGGCATATGGCCCCACCCCAGCCTTGCCCCTGACTGATTGGTTGAGGTCAGCGGCTCTCCTCAGCCGCAGCTGCACACCAGACTCAGTGGCTTTCCGACTCTGCAAGTGTCCCTGGGAATGGTCTGGCCAGAGCGCTTCCTCAGGCACGTCGTGTCTAGTCTTGTTCCGGGGAGACCCACTGTTTCCTGCCCCTCTGGGGTGAGAATCACCTGGAATGTGTGTGAAATATTATCAGGCCTCCCTTCTGAAAATCCTGATCCCACAGGTTTGGGTCGAGAACCCAGAACCCAAGTTCTGCAAATAATTCTTTTTTTGGGGGGTGGGGGAGATGGAGTCTTGCTCTGTTGCCCAGGCTAGAATGCAGTGGTGTGATCTTGGCTCACTGCAACCTCTGCCTCCTGGGTTAAAGCAATTCTCCTGCCTCAGCCTGCCTCAGCCTGGGATTACAAGCACACTACACCATGCCCAGCTAATTTTTGTATTTTTAGTAGAGACGGAATTTTATCATGTTGGCCAGGCTGGTCTTGAACTCCTGACCTCAGGTGATTTGCCCGCCTTGACCTCCCAGAGTGCTGGGATTACAGGTGTGAGCCATTGTGCCTGGCCTCCTAGCTAATTCTTTTTTTTTTTTTTTTTTTGAGATGGAGTTTCGCTCTTGTTACCCAGGCTGGAGTGCAATGGCGCGATCTCGGCTCACCGCAACCTCCGCCTCCTGGGCTCAGGCAATTCTCCTGCCTCAGCCTCCTGAGTAGCTCGGATTACAGGCATGTGCCACCATGCCCAGCTACTTTTTTGTATTTTTAGTAGAGATGGGGTTTCATCATATTGACCAGGATGGTCTCGATCTCTTGACCTCGTGATCCACCCGCCTCGGCCTCCCAAAGTGCTGGGATTACAGGCTTGAGCCACCGCGCCCGGCGCTAATTCTTAATTTCTGGAAAATGTGGATCCCCTCCTTGGGCAAGAGCCCAAGCCCCATGTAGATGCGGTCACTTTGCTACAGTCCGGCCCCCACCAGCCCCCTCCTTCCTCACCAGGCCTGGTGCACGCAGTGTCAGATGCTTCAGGGGAAGCCGAAGGCAGGGGGTGCAGCTGGAGGCATGGGCTAGAGCAGGCGTCCCCAAACTACGGCCCGCGGGCTGCATGCGGCCCCCAAGGCCATTTATCCGGCTCCCCGCCGCACTTCAGGAAGGGGCACCGCTTTCATTGGTGGTCAGTGAGAGGAGCACAGTATGTGGTGGCCCTCCAACTGGTCTGAGGGACAGTGAACTGGCCCCCTGTGTAAAAAGTTTGGGGACGCCTGGGCTAGAGGCTTGGGAGGTGAGGGGCCCTACCCTTGGTGGGCTTACAGCTCAGCTTGTCTTGGGTGGCTGTCGGGGGTGCCCCATGTGGCAGGAGGACCCTAAATGGATATTTAGGATCCAAAGAGCCCTTTGCTGGGCTCTGTTACCGGCGTCTGTAGCTAGAGAGAAATTCACAGCTAAGAAATACCGCCTCGGCCTTTGAAGCCAGCACCTGCCCACATGTCCCGTGGGTGCCACCCTCAGAACAGCAGGGCAAGAAGAGCCGGAGGACAGGGGCTCTGGCCCTCAGCCCCTGTGGGAGTTACCACCCCATCTTCTTCTTGGGGATCCCCACAGGGTGGGCTGTGCTGGGTGTCAGCGTCGGCTCCTCCACCCTGGCCTCGTGCCCTTGCAGCTTCTTCAGCCCTGACCTGCCTGTCGTCGAGGCGCAGCTGGTTGGGGTGGGGAGGGTGATATAGGGGCTATGCTGTCCCCTCACGTTTCTGCGGTCGCTCCTCTTACCTGTCCACATGGCTGCTCGGTCTCAGGCGTCCCTGGAGGCTTCTAGGCCAGTGTCTGTGTGTGTGGCCGGCCTGTCTCCCACCTCGAGAGGGAGCAGCGTGCTTCCCAGAGGCCAGGGGGTGTGTACTCTTCCATGTACTCTCAGCCTCCCTCTTGGGCGTCCGCATCGTGCACACGGGCAGAGGTGTGTTGCGACATCAGCTGTCCACATCATGTGCTCCGCCCGCACCTTGCTGCAGCACTTGGTGTGCTGGCAGGAGGTCCTGCGGCTGCTTCAGTGTTGAGGGGCTGCATGGCCATGCTTGAGTGACCTGGGTCATCCCCCTCGCCTGCCCCTGCCCATTGCTACGTGGTCCTGGCTGGCTCCTGGGATTGGGCCTCAGTCCCTCTGCTCCCTCCTTGCCCTCAGCAGCTCCCTGTGGACCAAGCTGGTCCCCTGGGCCATAGGACCTTGCACCTGCACTGCACCCTGGAAGGCCTGGGAAGATCCTCCTCCTCAGACCGCCCACGCCCCTCAACCAAGGTGGAGAAAGGGGCACCAGGGCCTGTGACCACGGGGCCAGCAGCAGGACAAGTGTCTGTGGTATCTGGAGGTGCCACGTCCTCCTCAAGTGCGTAGCAGGACCGGGCCGCTGGCTCTCGCCACACCCTAAGCCTCATGCCAGTGGCTGGCGTGGCAGCCCTAGTGCTCCTGTCCCTTCGCCGTCCCACATGCCCACTCCTCCATGGCGTTCACTCCCCACACCCTTCTCGGTAGAGGACCTTGCTCCCATTCCTCTAAACCAGGCTCTTGAAGGCCACCTCCAGCTGCGGATTCTGGGGCTGGGAGGGCAGGCACACACTTGTGAGCCAGGCCCATGCACACATGAACACTCGCACCTTAGAGCGCCTGCCTCACCTTGGGTGCCCAGCGGTGGTGCCTTGGCCTCACACAGAAAACACCAGGGCATCTGTGCAGTGAGTTTGCTGTGGGCTGGGGTGCCAGTGCCACCTTCTGAGTTTTAAGACAGTACCTGGGGAGTCTGACCCTCTGCAGGGCTGAGAACCACGTGTGCCCATGCGCCCCCTTCCCCCTCCCCCCTGCCAGTGCCTAGAAGCAGATAGTTTAGGAGGCTGCAGGGGCTGTGCCAGATCAGAGGCTGCCGGGCCTGGCCAGGGGTCCCAGCAGAGGAAGCAGAGCAGGGCTTGTGTGCCCACCGGGCTACTCTCCCTGCCACAAGGGAGGGCAAAGGCCACCTTCCCAGGAAGGCCCAGAGCACAGCTGAGCCAGGAGCTGCTGTCAGTTCTGACAGGGACCTTCCAGAGGATCGTGGCAGGGCAATGGGGTTCCCTGCCCTTCCGGTTCCTTTGGGGTGGCGTTTTACTAGTCCACAGGACCCCCTGGGAGGTGGTAGACATGGCTGTCGGCACCAGAGTCATGAGAACTTTTCACTGAATTCTGCTCAACCCAGGTCCCCTCTCCCAGACGGGCTGCGCCGCCTCCCACCCACTCCTGTCACTCAGTCCAGTCCTGTGGCTGCCCTACAGCGCCATGGGGAAGGTGCTACTACTATCCAGGCTTTACCCTGCCACCACCTACCAGGAAGGGGTATTAACTGCATTTACAGGCGAGGGAAGGCAGCCGGCCCAAGCCCATGGTCCCACAGGTCAGAAGACACCTGGTACAGCATTTGACTGCTGCCTGGGGTTGCCCCCATGGACAGGAACCCGGGAGGCCCCAGGCTGCTGGGGCTGCCCGTGCTGGACCTGGCAGCCCTGCCTTCGTCTGTGTGCCACTACCGGCCCCCATGACAAGACCAGAGACTAGCACTGAGGTGTCCTCAACAATTTTATTATAAATAAGACTCCCACTTGGTGGCTGCAGCCCCTGCCTTGGTGGCTGTGAGCACCTGATGGAGGGACCTGCCCCTTACCCTGGTCTGGAGGCCAGAACCAAGGAAAGGGCCCCCTGTCCCGCCATGTACACAGGGGAGCCTGAGGTACCGAGAATAAAAACCAGGGAGGGACTCCCAGGCCAGGTGGCTGCCCCGGGCCCTCTGCTGCACGAGGCTGGTCCCTTGGAGCATAAGAGAAGCTGCTCCCCCTCCATCACACCACACTCTCTTCCAGCCTCTCGGCGCTGCCCCCCACCCCCCGGCACCCTGCCCCGAGCAGCCCCCCGTGCACAGAGTGGCTCCGTCGGGCCCAGGCTCCTCCCAGGCGCCTTGCATAACCATAGCACCCGCCGGTGTCTCCCAGGTCCAGGGAGCAGCTGCGCTGGGGCCGGGGCGGGGGGCTCCGTGGTGGGTGGGCCTTGGGCGTGGGGCTGGGGCCTCCATTGGTCTGGGACTGGACATGGCTGAGCTTGAGGGGGAGGCGGCCATTCCCAGCCCCCCGGCCCCGAACCAGCAAGGCCACAGTGAAGACCAGTAAGGCAGCCACCAGCACACCCCCCACGGCCACAGTCAGGGTCCCGCCCAGCACGTGGGCCTGCAGGGCGTGGCACAGGGGCGTGGCGGGCAGCGTGGAGAAGTGGGCACAGCCCAGCAGCCTGGTGGCCGTGAGGTCGGAGGGCCCAGCGGCTGGTGACAAGGCCAGCAGGCAGAGGTCATAGTCAGCGCCAGGGACCAGGTGCTTCAGCAGGAAGTGGTGGCTGGAGGCTGGGACGATCCTGCGGGCAAGGGCAGGTGGTCAGAGCCCGGGGCTGGAGTCTAGCCCCATCCTCATCTCCCCATCCTGTGCTCCCAGCTCCAAACAGCCCCTCCCCCCAAACCACTCCGGTTCTTGTGTTCACTCAGGAAGGCGAACAGGCATGAGAGTGGCCAGGAGACAGCGCAAGTCCTGAGACACAGGACCCAGGCAAGCAAGGAGGATGGGGTAGGGGATGGCACAGCAGACGCAAAAGTAACGCTTGCAGGCGCCGCCCGTGTGCTTCAGACAGACCCACCCGCCACTTGCTGCCAAGGAGGCCAACACAGCTTAGTGACACCTAGGACATGTCAGGGGGTGGGGTCCTCCTGCTGCCCCTTGAGCCCCAGCCTCCTCAGGCAGTCAGGCCAGGCCACTGCTCCAAGAGTCCAGCAGCCACATGGGGGAGGGGATGTCAGCCACAGAGAGAGGAGGGGCGGAAGAAAAGCCTTGTGGGGAGCAGAGGGCGGAGGGAGGGCGCTGGGAGTGCAGCCGGGTGTGGGGCACGGTCCTCACCGGTAGATAAGGGTCTCATCCTCACTGCTGTTGTACTGGATTTGGAACATCCACACGGGGTCGGCTGGCCGCCCGGGACCCCAGCTCACCAGCCCTGAGGTGGCAGTCACCTCTGTCACCTGCACGGCTGGCTCCGACTCCAGCGTCCCCTCGCCCTCGGCAGCAGTGCGAGCCGAGGCAGCGATGTCCGAGGGCCCGGGGCGGCCCCCCTCAGCACTGGTGTTCCCACCGTGGGGCAAGGCCAGCACCCGCAGCTCTACTCGGGCTGTGGCTTCACCAGCAGGGTTGGTGGCGATACAGGTGTAGCCCCCGGCGTCCCCAGCGCCCGTCACCCCAATCTCCAAGGTCCCATTGGGGAAAGCCCGAGCTCGGGAGGAATTGCCAACCAACCGATCATCAGGACCGACCCAGTGCATGGTGGGCGCAGGGTCACCCAGGGCCCGGCACCGCAGCGTGGCCCGCTGGCCTTCCAGCACCCAGAGGCGCTGCGTGTGGCGGGCAATGAGGGGCGGCTCACAGGAGAACTCGCCCTCAGGCACTGCCCAGAAGTAGCGGCCGGCCAGGCCAGGTGGGGAGGCGCAGGTCTCCAGGTCGTCTGGCCGTGCCAGCCGCCGCAGCCACAGCAGTTCGCAGTTGCAGTGCAGGGGGTTCCCGCTGAAGCTCAGCACCAGGGGGGCAGGCGAGGCCTCGGCGTCACGCCCACGAGAGAAGAGCGGGTCGGGAGCCAGTGTGGCCAGACGGTTGGAGGTGAGGTCCAGGCGGGAGAGCTGACCAAGCTGAGCAAAGGCGCCTGGGGGCAGTGCATCGATGAGGTTATGGTCCAGGTTGAGGGTGTGCAGGGCGGGCATGGCGCCGATGCCGGCCCAGGGCACCTGCCGGAGATTGTTGTAGGACAGGTCCAGGTCCTCCAGGCTCTCCAGGAAGTCGTCAAAGGCCCCCGGCGCAATGCGGCCCAGCTGGTTGCCACTGAGGATGAGGTGCTGTAGGTTGACGGGGCCCCGAAGGCTGCCAGTGCCCAGCTCTACCAGCCTGTTGCCGTCCAGGTGCAGGGAGCGCAGGCTCTCGAGGTCTCCAAAGGCTCGGGCCCCAATGCGGGTGATGGCATTGCGAGACAGCGTCAGGTCCACCAGCCCCGTCATGTTGCGGAAGTCAGGGGGGCCCAGGGCCTGGATGAAGTTGTCTGCCAGCCGCAGTTCCACCGTGCGCCGGTCCACGTTGGGTGGCACAAACAGCAGGCCTCGGTGGGCACAAAGGGTGCTGAGCGACTCAGACAGGTTCTGGCAGACGCAGGGCAGTGGGCAGGCGGCCGCTCCACTGGCCAGCAGCAGCAGCAGGAGCGGCGGGGCCATGGTGAGCACCCTGTAGGGAAAGGCCACAGCCCAGGCACAGGTGGGGCTGGCGCAGGTGCCCACTTGGGCCCAGGACAGTCCCAGGAGCCAGCTTCTGTGAGCCTGGCCCGGAGAGGGGCTGGGTCAGAGGTCCAAAGGGGCCTCCAGGGATGAGGGAAGGTTGGGGCCTGCAGGGCCAGGCCCCCCCAGGAACAAAGGTCACATTTCCCAAACAGTGAAGGGGAAGTCCAGGCACTGGGGACAAGGTGAGGCATGAGGCAGGAAGCGGAGGAGGGCAGAGAGCAGGGAGGGTCCCGGAACTTCCTTTCCCAGGCGGCCTCAGAAATCGCCAACCCCCTCCCCGCTCCCTGCCATCCCCTCCCCCGCCAGAGAAGGTGCCCCCCGAACCTCCCTTGAAGACCGCGGCCCCTCCCAGGCCGGTCCCCGCGCTGCTCCCGGCGGCCCCCTCACCTGGTGTCCGTCGCTCAGGGGGCGCGGGCCGGCCTCCCTGAGAGCCCGGCCGGCCCCCGCCGACTCCAGGCCGCTCTCCCGCGGGGGCGAGGCCCGGGGATGACCGGCCACCCGCCGCCCACCCTCGGGCCCATGGCGCTCGGGCCCGCGGCCCCGGCTCGCTTGGTTCCCGGCACCTTTTCCCGGCGCGGTTCGCGGTGGCGGTGGCGGCGGCGGCGGCAGCGGCGGCGACAGGCGAGCGGGTGCGCGGTGGCGGGCGCGCGCGCCGCGGACACGCACGTGGAGGGCGGACGGGGAGGGGCGCACGGGGATCCACCCGGGCCCCGGCCGGCTCCCGAGGTCACGGGGACACGCGGCTGCTGCAGCGCCCACGGGTGGCGCCTAGTCACGCCCGAGGCCCGGGCCGGCGCGGGCCCGCCGCGCTGTGCCCCAGCGCTGCCGCAGCGCACTCACCCTGGCACAGGCGCGCGCGCCCCCGGCCACCCTGGCGCCCCGGCATCCTGCACCGCACGGGCGCCCGCCGCCGCGTCGCGAACCTCACTCTGCAGACAGCCAGACAAAGCGCCTGCTCACGGGCCTCTTCACCATCTCCCGGAGACAGGAGTCTTTGTCACATGTCGCTGGGCATCCTCCCCAACACACCCACACATACCCACACACCCACACGTTCCTGCACCCACGGGCAGGGCCGGGCGCAAACCCGCACTGTTGCTGAGACCCTCGCGTTCCCAGATACACGCTGAAGGTCACAACCGTTCTGCATCACCGAGTCACGTGGAGGGTCCCCAACCCGCACGGGACTCGGCGGCGGCGGAGGGGCTGGGGCGGCGCCCCTGGTAGGGCTGCTGCGGGGTGGGGCCGAGAGGGCTCGGCCTCCAGGCAGGCGCCCCGCCCACGCTGCCCCGCCCTTCACCCCACCTCTTCCCCAGCTACCCCGCCCGTCCCACAGGCCAGGCGCTCCAGGAGCCAACCGGCCTCCGCCTCGGGCCCGATTGGTCTGCGCGGCTTGGCTTCCCAGCCGCCCGGGGCACGCAATGGGAAGCTGTATATCCTCGCGGCGCGGCCCCTCCCTCCCGCTCTGTCCCCGCCTGGCCATTTCCCTGGGAGAGCATCCCGGAACCAGCTCAGCTCAGAGGAAGGGATCCCGACGTGTGGTGGGCGACGTTCCCCACTTCCTGGTTCAGAAAGCTGAGGCTTGGGTGGCTCGGCGAGCCTGGTCCCCTTCCGCCTGTGCCCGTCACCACCTCCCCTCGTCTCCTTGTCCTCAGGCTACCTAAACCTCAGCCAGCCTCCTCCTCCTCCCTCTAGCCCTGATCCCGACGGGCCAGGTGGCAGGAAACCCGGGGAAACTCAAGATTGGAATTCTGATCCTGCTGGCACAGCAGTATAGTTCCTGGGCAAGTTACCTGACCACTGAAAACAAGGTCCTCCTGTAGGCCAGGAGGGATGGATGGCACTTAACCATTTCCTAGGGCAAGAGGGGAGGACAGCTGTGGCTTGAGAGGGGCTTACCGGCAGCCAGAAGCCATTCTCACTATCACCAGTCATGGGGCTTCAGGTGGCCTTTGTAAAATGAGGAGGATTCAGTCCTGGTCCAGGTCAACTTGTGCACTGGCACCAGCTAGGTCTTTGTTCCTCTTTTTCCCATCAAAAATGCTCTCCACCAGGTGCAGTGTAATCCCAGCACTTTGGGAGGCCAAGGCGGGGGTGGATCACTAGAGGTCAGGAGTTCAAGACCAGCCTAGCCAACATGGCAAAACTCTGACTCTACTAAAAATACAAAAATTAGGGCCGGGCGCGGTGGCTCAAGCCTGTAATCCCAGCACTTTGGGAGGCCGAGGTGGGTGGATCACGAGGTCGAGAGATCGAGACCATCCTGGTCAACATGGTGAAACCCCGTCTCTACTAAAAACACAAAAAAGTAGCTGGGCATGGTGGCGCTTGCCTGTAATCCCAGCTACTCAGGAGGCTGAGGCAGGAGAATTGCTTGAACCCAGGAGGCAGAGGTTGCGGTGAGCCGAGATCGCGCCATTGCACTCCAGCCTGGGTAACAAAAGCGAAACTCCGTCTCAAAAAAAAAAAAAAAAAAAAAAAAAAAAATACAAAAATTAGCTGAGTGTGGTGGTGCATGTCTGTAGGGATGAGGCACGAGAATCGCTTGAACCCGGGCAGCAGAGGTTGCAGTTAGCTGAGATTGTGCCACTGCACTCCCTCCAGCCTGGGCAACACACTATGTCTCAAAAAATTTTTTTTCATTCACTCTATACATAGATGCTTATCTGCATCCACCATGTGCCACCCAGTGCTGGGAGCTGGGTTCATCAGGAACCAGATGGGCCTGGTTCCTGCCCCCATGGAGCTTACAGTATGGAGGGGAGGATAGGTGGCTCAGCCATCACAGAGCGGGGATATCTACAAAGGGAGATGCAGTGTGGGAAAGGGAGGGCTCCGAGGGTCCTCACCCTGCGTGCTCGGGTTCTTTGGATGCTTTGACCAGCTGCTTCCCTTCTCCAATGCCATGCCTTGGTCCAGCTGAAATGTCAGCATCTCTTTAGGAGGGGTGAGGCTCAGGGGCAGACAGGCACAGCACTGCTGACCGGCCCCACTCTGGTGAGCACCTGGCAGGCTGGTGGGGGAGGTACCTTTCCTATCCAGGCCTCCAGGTGATAAGGGTCCATGAGTAGAGGCCAAGCTCAGAGAGGTCCGGGTGGCTTTGAGTCCCTATCGAAGGTGCCAGCAGAGATCATGAATAAATGACAACGCATGGACATGTTTTCACTGAAGTGGAAATTTGCCTACAGGGCTGTTGCCTACACGACCACAGGCCATGCTTTCACATGGAGGACCAAGCTCCCAGCCATGTGGCCTCACGGTCTTGGAGCGCCTCTCGCAGTGCTGGCTCCCATGTCCCCATGTGGCCCTTTAAGTCATTCTTGCCCTGGCCCAGCCTCATACTGTCACACAGGCATTTAATGAGTGGAACCGAGGGCCCCTGTATACAAAGCCCACTGACATGCCTCAGGCAGCGCCCTGCCCCCAAGGGTTCCCATGCAGACAAACGAAATGATGAAGCCGAGAGGTGCACTTGCCTACAGCTGGTTCCTCTGGAGCCTGCTAGAAAGGTCAGCTCTGCTGAGGGTGTGAGGACAGGACGATGGTCTTTGAGTTCAGATGTTCAGGAAGAACGTCCCAGGCAGGTGCGAAGGTGTGGAGCACAAGGCCAGTTTGATGTGGCTGGAGGCGGCGGTGGAGGATGTGGCCTGGAGATGGAGAAGAGGTCACAAGGTCCAGAAATGGCTCTGGTCGAATCCTCTGGCTTGACCAGTGTTGGGGAAGAGTGGGTGGTGAGGGTGATGGATGCAGCTTTTGGTAACTGGGGGGACAGTGGGGCACCCACTGGGCACAGGACTGGGTGCGCAGGCAGGAAGCTGGTCATGGACTTGCTGAACTTTCGTGAGGGATGAACGAGGAGAGGCTTGGGAGGCAGCTGCATCTCTGGGTCTGGGCCCTGGAGGCAAACTCCAAGTGCTGGGATCACTGTAACTGGCGATGCAGCCCTGGGCTGGGGCCACCTGGGGAGCATGTGGTGTGTGAGGAGCCAGGGAGGAAGAGGACAGGAACACAAGATGGCTTAGAAGTCCAGGGAGAGAGCAGCAAGGTTCGAGTGTGCCCGCTGGACTCAGCTGGGAGGAGTGACTTGGTAAGAGTGCCAGAGCATGGTCTGTTGCAGGCAGGGCCCTCTTTAGAGAAGCGTGGGCAGGGGGGCAAGGGTGGCTGCTGTGGGCCATGCCGCTGGAGGAAAGGCTGAGCCTTATTCTAGGCTTCAGGGAGGCAGGAGGGGTGGCCTTCAGCACATGCTTTGGGGTAAACAAGGATGGAAGGAGCAGACCCAGCCCCTGACAGCTTAGGGGGCTCTGCCGGAGTTGGGGGTGGCCCGGGGGGGGTTCCTCTAGCCCCTTCTCTTCTCCCCTCCCTGTCTATGCTGCATGGTGATGCCCTCCCACCCGCCTCTGTCCTGCAGACCAACATCCCCTTCCTGCAGAACGTGCTCAACAACCAGCAGTTCCTGGCCGGCACCGTGGACACCCAGTTCATTGATGAGAACCCAGAGCTGTTCCAGCTGCGGCCCGCACAGAACCGGGCCCAGAAGCTATTGCACTACCTCGGTCTGGCCTGAGACTGCACTCCCCTCCCCTGCTTTCTCCTCCCCAATCGCTTGCTCTTACCTCCTTGCCACTCCCCATGACCAAAGAACTTCCCAGTGCTCCCTGCCCCTCACCCCTGCCCTCGTTCTGGACCTGCCTCCTCTTGTCCCTCACCCTTCCATTCACCACCCTCCTTGCTCCTGATCTGAGAGGCCCCCCCTTTTCCATCAAGAGGTCCCCACTGCCTGGATCCAGGAGGCCTCTGCTTTGGAGAGGACAAGGGCCAGCTAGAAGCCCAGGGATCCTGGAGTGATGTGTCCCTGTCCCCAAACCCACCCACTCTCACTGCTGCCCTCGACTCAGCCTCTACCCAGCCCACCCGTACCCACTGCCTGCTCTTTCCCCAGGCCATGTCATGGTAAACGGCCCAACCACCCCAATTCCTGTCAAGGCCAGCCCCAGCCCCACGGACCCCATTGTCCCTGCGGTGCCCATAGGTAGGTGAGATCTGTTCTGTCAACTCATGGGGAAGAAAGGATGCCACCTGCAGGATGGACACCAATGTCCCTGTCTGCCCTAGGCCCGCCCCCAGCTGGTTTCAGAGACATCCTGCTTCGAGAGGGGCCTGAGGGTTTTGCTCGAGCTGTGCGGAACCACCCGGGGCTGCTGCTGATGGACACGACCTTCAGGGACGCTCACCAGTCACTGCTGGCCACTCGTGTGCGCACCCACGATCTCAAAAAGATCGCCCCCTATGTTGCCCACAACTTCAGCAAGCTCTTCAGCATGGAGAACTGGGGAGGTAGGCTGGCATGTTGGGCAGTGCCTGGCAGGAATTGGGTGCCCACTGTCTTACCAGTCCCAAAGGAGTAGGCCACTGGGGACAAGCTAACACGAAGAACAAAGAGAAAGAACTGAAGAAGGCACAGCGTCCTCTCCGGCCAGGCCTGGTGCTGGCATGAGGTTGCTGAGCTGAGGCCAGGTGCATCCCGGGAGGCTCGGGGTCAGGAGGAGACACCTTCGTCTTAGTTGATTATAACACAGAGAGACAGAGGAGATGTGTCTGTCTCTGGGTCATGGAGTCAGCACATTTCTAAGGCCTTCTCTGACTCTGGCCTCCCTGCAGTGGTGCCCCTGGATTATAAAGGGGGCATAGAAGGGACACAAATGAGCTTGGTCTGCCCCTGAGATATCAGCCAAGGGAAACATCTGTGGGGGCTGGAGCAGGGAACACAGGCACCGTGAGGATGGGCAGGACCTGGTATTGGGGCCAGAGGCTTGGGCTGCAGAGCTAGCTGCAAGGCCTGGCGGGCTCCCCCAGACACACAGCTGACCTGGGCCTCTCGGTTCCTGTGCAGGAGCCACGTTTGATGTCGCCATGCGCTTCCTGTATGAGTGCCCCTGGCGGCGGCTGCAGGAGCTTCGGGAGCTCATCCCCAACATCCCCTTCCAGATGCTGCTGCGGGGGGCCAATGCTGTGGGCTACACCAATTACCCTGACAACGTAGTCTTCAAGTGAGCCTGCGGTGGGGTGGGCAGACACTACTTGGTGTGGTCCAGAGGATACTGAGCCACGTCGTGATGGCCTCTGTTCCCCACGGTGGGCCTGACACCAAGTCTCTCTGCAGCCACACGAAGCAGGGGCTACTGTTTGGAAGTATCGGGAAGCATGGAACTGGACACGCTTCTAAATTACCCCTCACTCCTGTGGCAGTGCAAGGCCTGAGGCATGGCCCAGGTCACTCGGTGCAGGGCTGGGACTAGAACCCAGGCCTCGGGACTCCCTGCTCAGTGCCCTCTCCCACAGCCTGCCACTGCACCAGCTGATCTTCTAAGGCCTGGTCCACACTTGTTTGCCCAACTCATGCCTGTGGATGCCACACCCCCGGCCAGGCCAGACCCTCAGATCTCATTTCCCAGGGGCAGTAGAGTGGGTGAGGCAGGAGCCAGGGAAGACTGTTCAGAGGGAGGTGGGGTAGGGCTCAGCCCTGGGCTCTCTCACCCTCAGGTTCTGTGAGGTGGCCAAAGAGAATGGCATGGATGTCTTCCGCGTGTTTGACTCCCTCAACTACTTGCCCAACATGCTGCTGGGCATGGAGGCGGCAGGAAGTGCCGGTGGCGTGGTGGAGGCTGCCATCTCATACACGGGTGACGTGGCCGACCCAAGCCGCACCAAGTATTCACTGCAGTACTACATGGGCTTGGCCGAAGAGCTGGTGCGGGCTGGCACCCACATCCTGTGCATCAAGGTGCCTGGGCCACTTGCCCATCTCTCCCTCTCTGCCTTGGCCATGTCCCCCTGTCACAGGCACACATCCTGCCCCTCTACCATCTCTCTCTCTCTCTCCCACTTACCCTAGGATATGGCTGGGCTGCTGAAGCCAGCGGCCTGCACCATGCTGGTCAGCTCCCTCCGGGACCGCTTCCCTGACCTTCCACTGCACATCCACACCCATGACACGTCAGGGGCAGGCGTGGCAGCCATGCTGGCTTGTGCCCAGGCTGGAGCTGATGTGGTGGATGTGGCAGCAGATTCCATGTCTGGGATGACTTCACAGCCCAGCATGGGGGCCC